AAAAATTAACTCTTCGTGGATATTTACAATCCAGAGGCGGGTGGGACAGGAACCAGCCCAATTACAGTCTATAATAAAGCCAACATGAAGCATAAAAAAGTCCGATGAGCAACCGGAGGATCTCTCAGAGAAACAGCTGGTGGCTCTGAAAAGAGCCTTTTGTTGTGAAGAAGCAGGGGGTTTACTTCTTCTTTGGTGTAGCCTTCTTAGCCTTGGCAGCTTTGGGCTTTGCAGCCTTCTTTGCAGGCTTTTTAGGGGTCGCTGCTTTCTTGGGCGCTGCTGTCTTCTTCACCTTAGGGCTCTTTACCTTCTTGGCCACAGCCTTCTTTGCAGCTGCCGCGGGCTTCTTTGCCTTCTTCGGGGTGGCTTTTGCTGCTTTGGGCTTCTTAGCGGTGGCTGGTTTCTTAGCTGCAGTTGTCTTCTTTGCCGCCGGCTTCTTTACTTTAGCAGCGGGCTTTTTGGCTGCCTTCTTGGGCTTCTCTGCTGGCTTGGCTGCCTTGAAAGAACCGGATGCCCCGGTTCCAGTGGTGTGGACCAGAGCGCCTTTCTGCACCAGGCTTTTCAAAGCGCGCCTGACGTGAGCAGAGTTATGCTCCACGTCGTAACCGCGAGCAACGAGATCCTTCTTAATAGCGGCCAGAGAGAGTCCTTTACGTTCTTTGGACTCTTTCATAGCTTTCACGATGAGCTCGCTAGCGGACGGGCCAGACTTCTTGGTAGTCTTGCTCGCTGCTGCCTTCTTCTTCTTGGCTGGGGCCTTTGCTGGAGCCGCCTCGGGGGCTGGGGCTGCTGCGGGAGCGACTTCTGCCATGTCGTTAATAGAGTGATGTTTGTCGAAGAGACGATAGAAATCTCCGCACAGTGACTGGAACTTAAATACAACACGAGAACCGTGGAGACTCAACCCTGCCTGCAGCTCACAGCTGCAGCGAGAAGACCTTGGCTCTTGTGTTTTCTCCTCTTCATAAACTACGTTAAAACAACATCTGAAGGTAAAAGTAGATAAAAATTTCAAATCGAATCGATAGAGAAGAACTTTCTCTTTATAGGGAAGCTTTATAAACTTTATTAGTTTTCTGCAATTTGTTTTGGAAGCCTTTAAACCTGCCCTATCCGCCGCGGCGTGAGGCACAGATTCGTGTCTTTTCTCCGACATTTTTCTTCTAAATGCGTTAAAATCTAAAATAACCCCTCAAAAACGAGGTAAACAACGAGGCAACATGTTTGTCCACACATGTTATGTCAAAACAATGATCCCCGTCGGATACCTTTACATAAAACTGAGGTTATTTCGGTGCCTGCAAACACACATGAGTTGGTGGAGGAAACAGTGTAACTCGTTAACTCCACACACTCTGTGCCCTCAATTTACTGTAGATTTTCATTAATTAATGATACACGAATTATAGCTCTGGCTCCGTGAAATGTGTAATATGGATAAATCCAACAGTTTAACAGCACTACAGCTCTTAGACAGGCAAACAGACTAAAGCTCCACCAGGCTTAGCATCATCATATTGCATCCCAGTTCACTGGCTACTGCATCCCAGTGCAGTCAAAACGCTAATCATCGCTAATAACACCCATCAAAAGAAAATTACAAGTAAATATCCAGAGCTGATAATGTTCATATAAACAGGAATAGATTAAACAGTTAGTCTGGAAAGTTCTGGCAGGAAACTCTCTCCACTTCCTTAACCATATCTGCTTTTTGGCCAAATGTCAGTGGCTGTAAGCTGGAACTCCTAAAATTAAGTGTTTCAGTACTTTCACTACTTGACTCTAGTGTTGTGGATGATATATATATATATATATATATATATATATTCTTGATTTGCTTTGAATACAATGACTCATGGTTATCAGGCAGTTAGTTCATTTGAATATTAAGCCTTTTGTGGGTGTGGGTACCTTCTCTGAGTTTGAACTCAGCAATTTGAGTCAGTATTGGTGGTTCAAAGTTAGAAATGCTCAGCCAAACATAAATACTGAAAAGTACTGAAAACAAAGTAAAAGTTTATATTTAGTTACTGATTTTAGTTGGATTTTTTAAATGTTTTAAACTGACATTTTCTTGTTAAACAATACAATTAAATATACATTTCTACTACATTTCTACTATACATTTTATAATTAAGTTACTTTGAATTTGTGTATTGATCATTTCATCAGTTTAAAATTAGATTACATCATTAAACTTTATTTAATCTCACACTGGTACAACAGGAAGAGATCTCCGTCGGATATGTTTTTATGAAGGAAGAATAGTGAAACTATATGTTGGAAAAATAAAAGTAGAAAGAAAAAATAGATTAATAAAATCATTAGAATTTTTTTTTTAATTCCACAATAATATGCTATATACAAATGGTTAAAATGTTGAGTAGAATTATAATTGTTAACAATAATATTTGATTATCTACAGAACAAACAGTGGAAGTGATGAACATGTATTTTTAGACAGTGTTTATCCTGTTTGGATATTGTACAGTTTGACTGCTAAAGATAACGACCTACAATAGCACTCCGTCCTGCTGTTGAAGGAGTCAGGTCTTCCACAGTCTCATGCAGCGGGTGTTGTCCATAATCGACACTAGCTTAGCCAACAACTGCCTTCTCTGTGGGATCTATCTAGGGGACTATCCAGGACTGAGCTACACTCTTTACCAGTTTAGGTAACCATCTTCTGTAGGTTTGTAAAAATTACAGGAAAAAAAAACACACTTCCTGTTTTGTGTGGAATGAAAAAGCCTAAGATAATTGTAGTGGTAATGAAGATAAATATGAGCAGGGAATTCAGTGCATATAGGGACTTTGTTTATTTGTTTTGGGGATTAGACCCAAACCTTTGCTTTCTTTCCTCTTGTTAATTTTAGCTCAAAAAACTGTCTAAATGCTGTTTTTCTGTTTCAGAATTGGCCTTTAGGAGTAACATAAAAGCACAATCAGTCCTCATGGAGTAAAGCTATTGATCTATTACCCCTTACCTGACACAAATATATAAATATTTTAAATTATGACGATTTGAGTGATAAAATTCTGAATAATTATTAAACTAATTACAAATAATGTAAGTAAAATTTATGCTGCTAAATTATGGCTAACCTGTTGTTATCGTACTATCTGTCTGAGTCAGTATGTCTGTTGGGTCTACATTAGCTTAAAAATTACTGGCTATGTAACATTTGCCAACATAGTGCACTGAGTAGATAAGCATCTAAGTCATTCAAACAGTGGTTGGTAAAACAAGCTGGCTGGTCTTTTTTATATATATATATTAGCTATCGGCTGGCCATATTACACACTATCCAAGCCAGAATTGCGCAGTGCTACTAATGTACAGCTATCTAGCTAATCTTAGTAAGCTGAAAAAGAAAAGTTAGCTATACATTTTCACTTTATCAGCTAACAGGTACATAATTAGCAGGGCAGGGATCTGACTTGAAACTGGAAAAACAGCATTATCTTTGACTATGAGTTCAAATAATTCAAAAGCCAATCACAAGGTTTTAGCTATGGAGCCTATGCTGAATAATAGCCATATCTAGTGGCTCTAATAATGTGCATAGTTTAAAAAGTGACCATTATGTATATATTGTATTACATATACCTAAAATTGTCAACTAGGTTACAGAGAGAGGGGAGAGAGCATTTCTCTTTTTTAAACGGGTTATAGTCACCGGCCTTCCAGGTCCCTGAACTGCTTCCATGTTTCGTATTCTAAAATATGTGACCCTGAGAAACTTCAAACAAATAGTTATTACTAAAATATTTAATCAGAAATTTATAAGATTCTTTTTCTGTTATATCCGTGAAAGTAAGGCCAGGGGTGTTTATAATGTGCTTTTTTGTATAAGCCACTGTTGTCCAGCACAAAACAAAAAACCTGTATAAGGTAGATTTACTTCAGGCCTGTTCAATTATACTCCATCAGATTTTATTAGGTGCAGTTTTTTGTGCTTCAAACACAAAAAAAACCCACTCAAGTATTGTACTAACATTCAAAGTATTGAGCCCTTTTATACTGGGCGTGTCTAACCTATATTTCATACTAAAATGTATATAGCTGTAGCTCACATGTTTAATTGTTAAATATTTTTATTTTAAGTACTGAAACAGTGAAGGTAAGTTGAATAATTATTATTTTGATTCAACTAATGTTCGATAAAGGTCAGTGAACAAGGATGCAGTTTATTAAAGCAATGCTTAGTTTAAAACAACTAGTTGAAGTCATAGCTTTCTTTCTATTTCACATAGTAATATTTATAATAAAGGAGTATCTGAATCAGTAACTAAGAAGTTAAACTGTACTAAATTTAGGAAAACGCTGTGGGACTTCGTGCCTGGACAGTTTCTTCCATCAGCTCTAGTGTGTTTGCAGACACTGAGAAAACCTCGGGCTAATGAAAATATGTCCGCAGAAACTAGGTGTTTATGCATGAGATGTCTGCAGAAACATGTTATCTCGCTGTTTAACCTCATTGTTTGTGGTGTTTGTGTATTTTTAAAGCATTTACAATAAGAAATTGCAGGGCAAAAAGACGGAGCAGTGCCTCGAAGAGAGGTTTAAGTCCGCCTCAAGCAAACTGTAGATGAACAGTAAACGTCTACAATGTTTCTTTGTAAAGAGCAAGTTCTCCTCTTTCGGATCGGTTTAAGTTCATGCTTCAGTTTCTCATTTAAATGTGATTTTAAAGCCGTTTTTGGTGACGAAAAAACACAACTATCTGCGCCCTCCCGCCGCGGATACGAGCAACAGGCTGGGTTGAGTCTCCATGGTTCTCATGATGCGTTTAGGTTCCTGTTTCTTTCGGAAATTCCACTTTGGCTGTGTAATTATATTATTGTCATTATTACTAAGTCAGTCGGGTGACAACACGATGACAGAGGGAGTTTTACAAGCGCCCAGTGACTCTGCCGCCCAGGCCAAAGCTTCAGGGAAGAAGAAAAGAGGACCCGTTGTGAGCGAACTGGTGTACAGAGCCGTGGCCGCCTCCCAGGACCGCAAAGGTCTTTTCTATACCATAAAGCAGGCGCTGAGCTTCCAGGGCTACGATGTGAATCAGCACGGCTTCCTCGTCAAACGCGCCATTAATATGCTGGTAAAGAAAGGGGCTCTGATCCAGACCAAAGGATCTGGGGTTTCCGGGTAATTTAAGGTGCCCCCATAAAAAGACCAAGTAGGTGTTAAGGGAAACTGCACTGGAAGAAGTGCCCATAGCCAAGTAGGCCGCTGGTTCCTCTGAATCAGCGTCCAAGAAAAAAGCGTTAGCTCGGAGAAGATGCTTAAGAAGCTCAAAAGGCTCTTTTAAGAGCCACCAAACTGTACACTACAGGGCTGATTTCATTTTCAAATGAAGAATGAATAAGATTAATACACACATCACACCTTCAGACCTCATCAACTTAATATAAATGGCTGTTTTGCTTCCAGATACCATTTACTGTCAGTGTAGCACACTTGATTTAGGTCAGGTGTCAGATCTTTGAGAAGCTGTGCTATTATTCACTCCTAGGGGCGAATCTAGGATCAAAACTTTACAGGAGTTCAGCCCTCAAATCATAACACTAATGTTATCTATTTGATGCTGTTCAGAGAGAAAATGTACATAAGTGGACACTTTAGTCAAATTAATGACCCTGCATTATCAGAAGAATTGGAACTTTTGCTTGCTAACATTTTAGGCAGAGTGCATTTTGGATCTGTACCACTCGTTTGTTTCATGAAATTACCTCTTAATCTTATTTCTGCTGCAGCAACACGTCTGATTTATTAATAAGGGATAATATTAAATCACTGTGCAGTTAAAGCACACAGTGCCTCTGTGTAAGTGCACTGTAACACCATGACATCTAGAAAAGTGCACATTAAAGCCATTTTTGGGTGCTTATTGAAGATTTCTCTGGGGTGATATTTTATAAAACTATAATGGGGTAGAAGTTCAGACTTTTTTAGATGAGCCGTGGCGGCATGTCATTCTGTTACGGTTTAAGAAGATAATGGGTTAAATTCATGAATCTAAGATTTAAATTAAAGATCTGGGGTTAACACAAGAAATTGAAACCTACATAAATGATAATAAAAGAAACAATAAGCATCCTATTTGCCTATAAATGCAACAGATGCAGCATTTTCCTCAACAAGGATTATTTAAAATTTAGTAGACAAATATGATCTTGTTGTCTCATTCATGTTTTGTTTTGGTTTTTTTTGGGGTTTTTTTGCATTTATTTCTTTAATAAAAATAATAACTTAGTGATAATATAAAGGCAGAGTTTTTATGATGGGAGTGACCAATGCAGTTCATTAAAGGTCACTAGTGGATAATGCTGGTATTGAATTATGTAAAACTGTGGGAGAGACTGGATTGTCCTGAGGTAGTGTATTCTATATTCTCCTGACATGGCATGTAGCTGTCAGGCATCCCACTATATCACTACTTGGTTTGGCTTTTTAAGCAAAAGTCAAATCAAAGAATAATATTACTAATCAAATAATCATATGTAAATTAGATTTAATTTATAATCTAACATGTTGAAAATGAGCAGAGAAAAAGTCCAAAGTTATAAAACAAATTTATATTGATTAAACCTATACCTGATTATATTCTGATCAGTATTAAGCATTTAAGCATAATTAACCACTGGCAAAATCACATATAAATTATGATTCTGTTTTAAAAACGACAACATACTTAATATCTTATATCTCTTATTCAGATTAAATAAATAATGAGGGGCCAGAGACATATTTCTTATCTTTTCACATCCATATAATACAGTAGGTAATAAAATGCATTATCTCAGTCTTCTTATTGTTATTCTATAAATATTTGGCCATGATTTGATTGCTAATGTGAACAACTGTGGTAAAAGAGGAAACCATGGTGATTTCATGACTTGGTTAGTTACAATACAGCACAGATCATTTTTAGAGCTAGAAACAATAATTTACCAGTCAATATTCAAAATATTTTCAACCAGAGAGATGGGGGCTACAGTTTGAGGGGGGAATGAAAATTTTCAAGTGCATGTGGTGAGAACTACTAGGAAAGAGTCAGTCAATCAATCTTTTATACAAAATAGTTGCGAGATTCCTGCTGTAAACACATTCAGATCTTTAGCCCTGGGACTTTGACCGTGAGAGATAAGAAACCCAGTTGCCAGATACGACTTTAAAAGCTTTCACATCCCCCAGTAACTCAGTTATTATTGCTGGTTCTTTTACCTAGTGCTAAAAGTGATTTGTCTCGAATTATTGCAAACTCTTGTGATTAAGGAAATTTTGTTATTCTTTATTCAGACTGAAGTACTGCAGGTTGACAGAGACTGTATGTGCTGCTCTGGTCTCTGCTCTAAAGTCCAACCCACCCCATCTGAGAAATCTGGACCTGAGCAAAAACGATGTGCAGGATTTAGGAGTGAAACACATTTGTGGTTTTTTTGGAGAGTCCACACTGTAAACTGGAGACTCTGAGGTCAGTTGCCTGTTAGAATTCTCTTAGAATTTATGATTAATATGAAGTTGTTCCTATTCTAGTATATCGTTTAGTCTTTTGGGTATAGTATTATTTTCCACTCCTTCTGAATTTTGTTTTCCATGTTTCTAGCTCTTATTTCCTTGTTTGATTATAATAGTTTCCTTTCATGTGTAATCTCTCCTAGTTATATCTTTGTGTTTTGTCCTTAGCATCTTCTGTGTGAAGTTAGTTTTGTCTCCATATTTGTTTTCCCTTTCTGTCTTTCTCTTTCTGTTCCCATGTTTTCTTATTTCTTGTCTTATTTTGTGAGTCCCTCATCTCATGTGCTTTGTGTTCAGTTTTGCTTCCCCTTGTCTCATCATTTAGATTCTGTTCACCTGTGTCTTATTTTCCCCAGCTGTGTCCTTTCTCGCTAACTATGTCTTGTGTTTGTTTAAACACCCAGTTTTCCTCAGATCCTTGTTTCATTCTCCCACATGCTGTGTATTTCTGTTTTCTGTTGGGTCCCTTTAGTCTCTAGTTTTGGTTTTGGTTTTCTATGAGTTCCAGCAATTGACCTGTCTTTTGAGTTTGCTTCTTGTCTCTGGAGTCCTGCATATTGGGACCTAAATCTCCCTGCCACACAGTGAACAAACATGGATATGAATGTTTTATGCACAAATTTTTAATTTATCAATATGTTCATAGTTTAATTGGTTTGTTCTTTAGGAAAATAGTCCCTCTGACCTTGCATATGAACAAATCACAGCCTTACTGCTTTTTCAATTTAAACACGATGAACGAGCCATCACTACTGTTACTAATAATAACAACAATGATTACAATTATTATTTTTATTCCTTTTGGTCATTGTTTACTGTTTTCCAAAACACCATATGCCATCAAATGAAAAATAAAAGGAATGTAAAGAAAATAAAATGCAATTGTGGTGACCCACTAGAGGGCTCCACTTACACCCAAGCTGAGAGGAAGGGTTCTGCTGTGCTTGGGCGCAATATGCTCAGTTCATGTTTGGAGGTGAAAAAAGTTGGAATGTAAAACCAGAGCTCCTGTGTCGTGTGTCACATGCCTCCATACAATCACTAAAGGAATGACCACTTTTCAAAGGAAAAAAATAAATTCAATTGAATTGAATGAAATCAAACATTTCCCAATATACAAATGTGGCAAGAACAAAACAGGCCAATACACAGGTTCCAATGATCCAACAGTAATTTTAATGGTAACAAACTTCTTCAGCAGGTTAAAACATTTCCAACATTTCCAAGCAAATATTATTAAATGAGGCCACTGACGGGAATAGCACACATCTCAGTGCTTAACTCATCATTTATAAAGCATTAGTTCTCCTTAGGATGTATTTTATAAACACATAAAACATAAATGTTATTCTTGATTAATGAACTTATATATAACATGTTCATGGTATCATAAGTGATTAACAAAGTATTTAGATGCATGCACACACAAACAAATGTTTGCAGCTGAGAATAAGTATTTCTATGTTCTGTATCTCTTTGTGCTTTTTCTGTGTCATTTTCCTGTTGTGGACATAGCTTAGACTTGTTTGAGTCTTAAGGTACTTTAATTTTCATTTTTAAATTCTTTTCTAAAGAGAGAACACATTATTCCTATATTGGCTTCTCTTCATTTACTCCCTGTTAAATCTAAATTTAAAATTGTTCTCATCACAGAGAATGAACAGGCTCCATCATATCTTAATGACCCTATATTACCATATCACCACATTAGAGCACTCTAATGGTGTGTGTGTGTGTGTGTGTGTGTGTGTGTGTGTGTGTACTTTGTTAATCAGTTATTGAGACTTTCTAAATGATAATGGCAACACATTATATATAAGCTTATTAATCAAAAGTAAACATTTATATCTGTATTTATAAATGACATACTAAGGAGAAGTAATGCTTTAAAACTGAATTAGGCACTTGCTAATGCCTTACAAATATTTAATAGTGTTTGACTTCACAAAACTGTTTAAACATTGATATTGATTCTTCAGAACACTGACAGAAAGACAACACAGAGTTTCTTCTTTTATTCTTTATGCAGCTTGAGTAACTGCAGTTTGTCGGAAATCAGCTGTGCTGCTTTGGTCTCTGCTCTGAAATCCAACCCGTCCCATCTGAAACATCTGGACTTAAGGGAAAACAACCTGAAGGATTCAGCCATGAAAGAGCTGTCTGATCTTGTGAAGTGTCCACATTCCAGACTGGAGGATCTGAAGTAGGTAGAGGTTTCGGTCCATTTGCTTTCAGCAGTACCGTTTCAATTCAGGGTTGCTTTCTTTGAAGAACCCAGTCTATGTAAGCTGGGTGCTTCAAACACCACAACCACTGAGAAAGCCAGAAGTGAGCAGCTATTAAATGATGATTTAGCCTATAAAGTGCTGCTCAGGTTCCCTTTCAACCATGACACTAGCCACTAGAAGCATTTTGTACTTCAGTGTCATACAGAAATGACAGCATAATCTTAATTTTATTTAATTTGACTTACTTTTACTGAGATGTTTCATAGGTATGTGGTGTATCAGAGGCTGATTCTCCTTCACCCAAACATGCCATATCATAACTGCCCTAAGTCAAATAGAAAAAATGTTAAACCAGGCTGATTTTTGCTACATGGGTCTAACAGGACAGAGAAGATCCAAACATATAGCATCCTTATAAAACAGAGGTCACTAACAGGCGGACCGCGGTCCAGATCCAGACCCACAAGGTGTCCCATACAGGCCAGGACCTAAGCCAAAACAGAAGTTCATGATAAAACACCTGGCGGGGTGAAAAATGGAAAAAATGGAACGTGAAAAAAAGAACAAAGGGTGAATACTTGACAAAGTGCTTGTGCAATAATGAAGCTTTCAGGATTCAGCATTTCATTTTCACTGTGGACTTGAGTGAAATCTACAGTGGAAACAGACTTCATGCTAAAGGTCTCTGTAGTGAGACTCTGAAGTGTATGAGCTTCGGGATTAGCAGGTTCACTCCAACATGTTAACATAGGGCACGAGAGGAAGACAACTGCGTTACACAGCTGTTCCACTGCCTCACCTTTTATACTGGATGTGCTAAGTCACTGACTTGGGTATTATTTCTTTTCTTTTTTCTTCTCTCTACAGATGGAAGTGATGGTAAGCATGATGGGGTGTATGCTAAGAGAGGATAAGTTATTTTCTGATGATCCCGAGAAGCTGAGATTCCAGAAGCTTGTGTGTAGAGACAGTCTGCCAGGGCATGTTACTGTGCGCTCCTTTGCCCAAACAGTTCCACTATCAAAAACAATTCACAGTACACTATCATCCCTGTGTGTCCTCTGGATCTGACAGGTCATCATTTGTGGATCTGGACTGCTCTATCTTTTACATACTTTTTGCCGACACATTGGGACACCAATCCTTCTGCTCCAATAGAGACACAAATACTCTGGGTTTTTTAAAAGAAAAGAGTAATTGAAAACCAAAATTTACACTGAAATGCAAAATTTTAATCTTTAAATTATACCAATGTTTATTTCTCCTCTGTATCAAATTAATTAAATTGATGCAGATTATTTAAACTGCCATAAATTCTACGATACTGACACTTAGAAGTAATTATAAGGGGGAAAATTGTGTTAACCAAAGGCCAAATTGTGTCTTTACACTTGTAGTGTAAAATTAATTTTGTTAAAGTTGTAAGCTTAAATCTGTTTTAAGCCCTGAAATCTTCAGATGGATGTCTGCTGTAGTCTTAAAGCTATGACGGCTCAAAAATGTAAGAATAAAAACGAAGTACCAAATTTAGACCCCTCCTTTTGTACTTGGATTGCCTGTGACTCTGAAAAGATAAAATATCACATGCCTTCATTTAATATTATATTACTCTAGAAACACATGAGTTGATTTTGATAGGATCAGGTGGGAGCTTTTCTTCCTGTTGCAAACAGGAAGCACCAACAGAACAAAAAAAGGTTAAATTCCACCTGTATTAACTCACAGCCTATTTTCACCAGCATAGATCAAAAGAATAACACTTATTTAAACTCGGATATAACTTGTTCTATCACAGTTGTGAAACTTTCTATAAATACTTGTTGGTATGTTGAAAACCAACCAATGTTATAGTGAAACCTGCAAAGCTATATTTAAAAGCCATGATATTATTTTGGAGAGTTTCTGCCAAGATGCCTAAACCCATTCAGCCAAAGAATCATAGCAACAAAGCTGAATCCATTTTACTGACCGTTCTCAAGTTTATCAGCTAATGTTCAAGTCAAGTCAAGTGGCTTTATTGTCATTCCAAACATGTGTGCTGGTACAGTACACAGTGAAACGAGACAACGTTCCTCCAAGACTGTTGTGCTACATATGGCATATAACAGACAATCAACAAAGAACTACATAAAGTGCAATGTGCAAAAATGGCAAAAAAACGAAACAAAGACAGTTCAACACCAGACAGAAGAGAACAATACAGACACAAGA